GCGCCAGTGCGCACCGCTCTTGAGAACCATATCAGAGTCCTTTTGCTGTTTTGCGACTGTGCGCCAGTGCGCACCGCTCTTGAGAACCATATCAGGGTCCTTTTGCTGTTTTGCGACTGTGCGCCAGTGCGCACCGCACTTGAGAACCATATCAGAGTCCTTTTGCTGTTTGCGACTGTGTGCCAGTGCGCACCACTCTTGAGAACCATACCTGAGTCTTTTCGCTGTTTGTGACTGCGCGCCAGTGCGCACCACTCTTGAAAGCCATATCTGAATCTTTAGTTGTGCGCCAGCGCGCACCACTCTTGAAAGCCATATCTGAGTCTTTAGTTGTGCGCCAGCGCGCACCACTCTTGAAAGCCATATCTGAGTCTTTAGTTGTGCGCCAGCGCGCACCACTCTTGAAAGCCATCTGCAACTGTGCGCCAGTGCGCACCACTCTTGAAAGTCATATCTGAGTCCTTTTGCTGTTTGCAAGCGTGCGCCAGTGCGCACCACTCTTAGAGGGCCAATTTCAACAGTGCTATTCGCAAAGGCCATTTTCAGAACAGTGCTATTCGCAATGGCCAATTTCTGAACAGTGCTATTCGCAAGGGCCATTTTCCGGACTTTGTGCTATTCGCAACTGTGCGTTGAGTGCGCACCTTGATTGAGGGCCATTTCGCAACTGTGCACCGAGTGAGCACTTGATTGAGAGCCATTTCTGAGCTTTTGTGCGGCGGTTCTCTGGCCCTAAGTGAAGGCTGAGTGGAGCCCTCAAATGCTAGTCACAGCAAAAGCTATTTTATTCATTTTATTATGTGACCGACATCGGCCCTAAGTGAGGGCTAAGTGGTGCCGGGCACAGTGAGGTTATCACACACGCTTAGGGTTGTGATGCTGGACTGTGTTCAGCGTTCCCACTCAATGCGGTAACGCTGGACTATAGTAAACAGTGGACTGAGATGCGGTAAACTTTGGACTGTGTTCAGCGTTCCCACTCAATGCGGTAATGCTGGACTAAAGTAAAACAATGGGCTGAGATGCGGTAAACTGTGGACTGTTTTCAGCGTTCCCACTCAATGCGGTAATGGTGGACTATAGTAAACAGTGGACTGTGACGCGGTAGACTGTGGTAGATTGCGGTAACACCATACTGTGGACTGTCTGGTCGGACTATGCTCATGCTCGGAACGGTAATAATGGTTAGTCTTCGCTTGAATGTTGGGCAACACTCTTTTCGTCTTGGGATATTGCCGTGCAGTGCACGCGCATATAAGATTTATTATTTAAGTGTGCGCCAGTGCGCGCCCGGATGAGATATTATTATTTAAGTGTGCGCCCGCGCGCGCCCAGACCAGATATTATTTTTAAGTGTGCGCCCGCGCGCGCCCGGGCCAGATATTATTTTTAAGTGCATGCCCGCGCGCGCCCAGACTAGATATTATTTTTAAGTGCACACCCGCGCGCGCCCAGACTAGATATTATTTTTAAGTGTGTGCCCGCACGCGCCCAAACTAGATATTATTTTTAAGTGCGCGCCCGCGTGCGCCCAGACCAGATATTATTTTTTAAGTGCGCGCCCATGCGCGCCCAGACCAGATATTATTTTTTAAGCGCGCGCCCGCGCGCGCCCAGACCAGATATTATTTTGAAAACGCGCTTGCGCGCGCCCAGACCAGATGTTGTTTTAGAGTGCGCGCCCATGCGCGCCCAAGCTTGGCATTGCAGTTAGAGTGCGCGCCCATGCGCGCCCAAGCTTGGCATTGCAGTTAGAGTGCGCGCCCATGCGCGCCCGAGCTTGGCATTGCAGTTAGAGTATGTGCCCATGTGCGCCCAGGCTGGATATCGTTATTTGAGTGCGCGCCCATGTGCACTTGCGCTGGATATGTGTGCGCCCAGGCTGGATATTGTCATTTGAGTGCGAGCCCTTGTGCGCTCGAGCATAGGATTGCTAGCTGAGATGATTTGCCATCACGCTCCGGTTGATTTATCCCTTTGCTGATCAGCAACGCCTCATGCACATGATATTTTCCCTCGCACGGGAAGCATTGGCAGTTCAGTCCCTGCACAGATGACCTGACTCAGTCTAGCCCCATTACATTCAACATTAGTGACTGGCCCCTGTGCATGAGATGTTCTACTGATCAGTTGCTGTTCAGCCGGGCCCTTCAGGCTGGCCTACTTGAGATTGTCGCTGTTCAGCCGGACCCTTCAGGCGGTCCTACTTGAGATTGAGTTGCTGTTCAGTCGGGCCCCTTCAGGCGGGCCCCACCTCTCGAGATTGTAGCAGTTTTCAGCCAGGCCCCTTCAGGCGGGCCTTTTCTTCTGAGATAGCTGCTGTTCAACCGGGCCCATTCAAGCGGGCTTTATATTGAGCTGCTGTTCAGCCGGGCCCATTCAGGCGGATGCAACCCCAAGCCCCTTAGTGAGCTCCGCAGCAAGGAGAAGAGGCGGAAGGACGACTGGATCCAGATAGAGATAACCAGATCCGGAGTCCCAATCACTACATGCGTCCCGAAATGAGAGACAGATGAGTCGGATTTGGAACCCTGCTCTATGAGTGACCTTGATCTTGGCGATTATTTCGACTGGGACACTCACAGGGGTTGAGTTTGTGGATAGCGACAGGAGCGCTGGAGACCAGTGAGCGGAGACGTCGGAGGGCGACATTGAGGAGGATCGCACATCTTCTTGCACGGTATCTTCTTGAGGGTGATTGACTCCTACATGTCAGACGACCCTAGGTCTGAGACAGTTTTTGGTCCCCCAAGAGGGGAGGGTCCGGTCCCATACCTCGAAGATGGCTATAGTCATTTGGTCGGGACAGACTTTGTTATGCAGGCTTATCGAAATCCTCTTTACGGAGATCGTTTCCTTGAGGTATCCTACATCTACTCTGGTGGGAGAGGACGGATTGAGATATTGATTGGAGCTATAGACGATTTCATTCTTGCGGAGGAGCTTTATCTCAGGAGCGTCGCAGACGAGGAGATGGCTAGATGCATGGCCTATATCTGCAAGATTGATCCTCTCGACATCAGCTACGTGGTTCCAGAGTCGATAGCCACGCGAGTTCTCAATGACGAGGTGCCAGAGAGGGAGTCCCAGACGGCAGCACTCACTCACGAGGGGGTACCGCTTATTATTATTGATTGAGGTTCTCTTTTCAGTCACTATTGATGTATTACGACATTATTATTTATTAGTGATTGCAGCCCTCCAATGGCTGCTCCCTGCAAACTCAGTGTACTACTCTTTTGTCTCGTATCTCTGGTCATACTCTTGCAGAGTCTAGTTTCTGGTCTTCTCATTTTGTCAATGTCAATTGCTCTATGATGCATGTATGTTATTTTCCTCCTTATTTCACACAGGGTATACTCAAGCAGCTTGAAGGACTCCTGAATGATAGGGACTCCGGTGACCTTGGGTCTATCCTTTATACGGGGTCAGGTGCAGGCGATAAACCCGAGCGCCTCACTCTAAGCCGTGTCGCCGCTGGCAGGAGGGATAACCCTGACTACTCAGCTGTATGATAAAGTGTGACTGCTTTTGAATACACCTCTATTTTTATACCTATCAAAATCCTGCGTGACAGTCTGCCAGTCCTCCAACCCACTGAGCTCGGTCCTGGGAAGAGCATCCAACCAGACCCTTGAAGCAGTGGGGGCGCGACAACGTCACTGCCTTAATGGCCAACAAGGGAGGCCAAAGTCAATGGAAGACGAAGAGGAGGCCACACTCGTTTTTCGAGCATCCCGGCATCGCGTTCGGGAAGCCCTGGGAGAAGATGGGCATGACACGAGAAGAATGGCAGTCCAAGATGGACAACCGTCAGTGTCTCAAGTGCGGGACTGTAGGGCATGTGATAGCCTGGTGTCCCTTAATCAGAAACCCAAAAGCGAGCAGCTAGTAGGAGTAGCATCTGCTCCTACTGAGTCGAAGGGTTTAGACAAAGGTAAAGGGCCAACAATCCCTTCTAACCCCTCGACGCACATGGCAGAGGATGGCTCGTCTTCGGCCCATCGTCCGGAACGCCCTGAGACAGTCTTATGTTCCGCCTCTTTGGACGATTCCCTTGACGAACTTGGTAACGAATTCATAGCCTTAAGAAGTTCGTGGGCTAAGAAAGCTAGATCTAAGGGTGAACTAATGATAGCACACATTGAAATCGCACGTACACGAGTAGGTGCCTTGTTAGACCCCGAATCGACACGGTCCTATATCTCAGAGAAGGCAATACGAAAGTTGCATCTGAGAATGAAGATAAAGGACTTGCATAGACCCAATCACGTCTATGCAGGCAGACAAGAGCACGATCACTGTCGCTTAATACGTGGACCGTGTGAAATGTTATTTTCACACAAAGGAAGGTACAAAGATCTTACATGAGATATCCTTCCTTATAGAAAATAATTTTCCCTTTGACATGATTCTGGGTATGGATTGGCACGAGGAAGCCGACCCAGAAGTCAAGTTAAAAGAAACAATAGTCTAACTAAAGGATAAAAAATCCGAATTGAAACCAATTAAATTGTATCATAAGTCTGGATCTGACTCATCCTTGTCTTTTTGTTATATGAGTTACCCAGCCTTTAGATCAATGGTCTGTAAGAAGAAGTTGGATCAGGATGTAATGCTGGTACTCGTTAAACGAGTCGGTGAGTGCTCCTCATCCTATCCCCCTTCTATTGAGGAACTTCTCGAGGAATATCAAGACTTGCAGACTGAGCCGACGGGAATCACTGAGCGTGCTATTAAGCACACGATCGAGATTATTTCCGGAAGCAAGATTCCTAAGGGTCCCATCTATCGAATGTCTCGCAGGGAACTTGAAGAACTACATAAACAGTTGCAAGAACTTACTGACAAAGGATGGATTCACCCTAGCTCATCTCCTTATGGTGCCCCTGTCTTATTCGTGCCCAAAAAGGAAGGTGAACTCAGCACACCCCCAGGAGCTGAAGGTACGCGAGGAAACACCATGTGCAGCCAGTTGTCCTTCCAATAGCTCTCCCTGCGAAATATGTAATCCGCAATCCTGTCGTATGTAGTCCCCTTCACTCCCGTCTCTGCCCCCTTCACCGAGTAGGTGATCACGAGCGTGTGTCTCGAAGTCGAGGACTCATTAGCCCTGGTAGTGAAACTCCGATGTCCTACATGTCTGTAGCAGAACCTCTCAATCAATCTACCCCACTTAGGGGTAGTCTCACGACGTCGGGCCAGCTTGGATGGAATGCACGCTCTCACTGATGCAGATACTCCCTCCAAGGCCTAGCCGGATAACAATCAGCAACTCAATGTGATGTATTAACTATCGAGGGCTGAACTCCGTCAATGTGAAAAATGCGGAACCACTTTCGCGCGTTGACGACCTGTTGGACCAGTTGCAAGGTGGAGGTACTTCTGCAAGATTGATCTCAAATCAGGGTACCACCGAATCGAGGTGGCTCCGGAAGATCAACACAAGACGGCTTTTCGAACCAGGTATGGTCACTACGAGTTCGTGGTTATGCCTTTCGGATTAACAAATGCACCTGCCACCTTTCAAAGGTCAATGAATGAATTGTTTCGACAATAGCTAGACCAGTTCGTAGTAGCCTATCTCGATGACATTCTAGTGTAGTAAGACATTAGAAGACCACGAGAAACACCTACGAATGGTTTTGCAGCAGTTGCTGGAGGGCAACTTCAAACTGAACCCGAAAAAGTCCGAGTTTGCTAAGCCTATAGTCTTGTACTTTGGGCGTATAGTAAACAAGGAGGGACTAAGGCCCGAAGAAAAGAAGATTACAACAATTTGAGACTGGCCCCAACCTAAGACTATAGCTGAGTTGCGACCTTTTCTAGGACTTGCTAGGTATTGTCGAAAGTTTGTCAGAAACTTCCTATGAGAAGACTTCTAAAGAAAAAAAAACCTTGGTTGTGGGACAAAGATTGTGAGTCATCGTTTAGAAAGTTGAAATATGCTCTGACTCATTACCCTGTCTTAAAGATTGTTGACCCTGCACTTCCTTTCATCGTCACGATTGACGCAAGTCAGTATGGGATTGGGGTTGTGCTACAGCAGGACGACGGTAAGGGATATAGACCAATAAAGCTTATGTCCAGGAGACTTTCGTCAGAGAAAGTGACCAACTCCACCTATGAAAGGGAACTGTATGCCTTAGTCGCTGCACTAGACACCTAGAAACACTACTTGTTAGGGAGACACTTCACTGTCTATTCAGATCATTCCACTCTGAAATGGATAAAGACACGACCAAGACTCTCTGATAAGCTAGTAAAATGGTCCTCTTTTATGGATACCTTTGAATTTGAGTTAAAAACAATCAAAGGAAAGTCTAATGTTGTTGCGGATGCTTTGTCGAGGCGTGCAGACTTCTTTGGAACCATTGTCTCCTATCTCGATATCGGGAATGAACTGAAGGAACGAATCCTAAAGGGTCATGAGAGTGATGCTATTTGGAGTCCTATCATCGGGACCCTACGAAAGAACCCTGAACTATTCCCTGAGTATCGAATGACTTATGGCTTACTCTTCTACGTGGATAAAACCGAAGAACGATTATGCGTTCCTCAGCAAGAACAAATCAAGAGTCTAATAATTGGGGAATGTCATGATGTTGAGGGTCGCTTTGGTTTTAAGAAGACGTATGCCGATGTCCGAGAACACTTTGAATGGAAAGGAATGAAAGAGGATGTACTAACGTATGTGCGGACTTGTCTTGTCTGTCAGAGGAACAAACCCGAAATGGCAACAGTCAGGTAATGGTCATTATATATAGATTCTCAAAGTATGTTATGTTCATTCCTTTGCCTGTTGAAGCTAGAACAGAACTGGTCATCCAGAAGTTCCAAATACGACGGGTTTTTGAGTATGGATTCCTGAAAACCATTGTCTCTGACAGGGATGTTTGACTCACTTGTCTACAATGGCAAAAGTAGATGGAAGTCTATGGCACCAGGTTGACCATGTTGTCAGGGAGACATCCTCAAACGAATAGCCAAACTGAAGAAGTGAATCGTCCGTGCCAACAACTTTTGCGCATGTATGTCTGACCCAATCAGATAGATTGGGATGAGAATTGACCTAAGATTGCTAGTGCTTATAATAACAGTATACATACTGTTACAGGAAGAACGCCTAATGCACTGCATGAAGGTTGGAAGCCTCGACGTCCTATTGATGCTTCAACTCGGGACCAGATTCAGAGGTTACCCCCAGGAACATGAAGAAGATATTAAAAAGGTAAAAGAAAATGTACAGAAAGCCCAACTTTAGATGATTGAGCAGGCCAACAAACATCGTCGGCCATCTCAGTTTCAAGAAGGAGATCTGGTATGGGTGAAGTCAAAAGAATTTGCCTTGGAAGAAAACGTGTCTCAAAAACTGTTGCCTGTCTACTATGGTCCCTGGATGCAGATGGACCTTCCTATCGAATAGATGTACCCCCACCCACACCTAAGGACCTACCCCATCTTCCATGCGTCTAAACTACTACTGTATGTAGAGGGAGATAACTTTCCTAACCGGCCATCTATGTTTCCACCCTCCATAAATGGAGGTTACGAAGTTGAGAAGATTCTGGAACATGGGTATTTTTCTATAGGTGGCAGAGGAAGACCACAGAAGCAGTATAAGGTACAGTTCAAGTCTCAACCTCCGTCTGAAGCCAGATGGTTTAGTAAGAAAGAACTCTTACCTACTAATCCTGACATTGTTGCTGCATACGAACGTGGGTTGAAAGGAAATTGATGTCTTTTCTGCGATGGAACTCGAAAATTGGGCCGGCAGGAATGCAATAAGCCATGCAGTATGCCTCGTGGAATGTCTGAGGGCCGTGCCAGGCCGCATTCAGATCCAGAAAGGGGGAAAAGAGCCCCAAGTGAGATTCAGGGCCTGCACGAATAACAGTTGACTAACGTCAACAAAAGGACGCCCAATAGTGAAAGTCAAAGTGTACCCAGCCCAGGCCGCTGGTCAGACGCACGCACTTGTTTGTATGCAGGTACCCATACAGCATCAGGACCAAAGGGAGGTCTGCAACTGTATGCAATTCAGGCCCTTGGCTGTGAGTCAATCTGTACCAGTGTGGGTGGGGAATTTGAGGCCAGACAGCCTCGTCAAATACTACATAAGGCTTGGCTTCCAGGTGGTCAACATTCAGTCTTTCTATGCTGCCTCGATGCTGGCTTGACTCTGGCTGGTCGCTGGCTGAGCGCTCGTACTGTGGACGACGACGCGGGACTGTGGCAGCATGCTGGCGCTTTCTGTTCTATGCGCCAGTCATTGCTGACGTGGAGCTGCCACCTGTCTACATTGTTGATGTGGCGCATGCCACTTGTCTACAAGGCTGATGTGGCGCATGCCACTTGTCTACATTGCTGATGTGGCGCATGCCACTTGCCTACATTGCTGATGTGGCGCATGCCACCTGCCTACATTGCATTGCTGATGTGGTGCTGCCACCTGTCTCTACTGCTGACGTGGCATTGGCCATGCTGTCTGCATGAGGTGACTGGTTGCAACAAGGAGGGAGATCGGGATCTGTGGATGATTGGGATCTGGTACTCACCTGAGGTTGATGTCGTTACCGTGAACTGCTGTTGTCTTCATGGTCTCCACGAGGTAATAGTGCCACGTGGCAGTTCTGTGTGATCAGGACCTATCAGACTTGGTACTGTATATTGGTTGTTGACGTGGAGGCGAGGGGAAGCCAGAAGGAGTGGGAAAGGGTTGGGGCTACTCTTGTGTGTTCATTGATTATCTCTTCCACCTTCTCCTCTCTTCGTCTTTGGTAACGAGATATTGTTTCAGATATCACTTCACGTTAACTGGAGACATTGTGCAGATCTGAGTCTACTTGAGCTTCGACGTCTGATGAGTATCTTCCAGTCTGGGTTCATTACATAGATGAAGTTGGCAAGAAAAAGGGCTGAAGAGGGTTATAGAGAAGAGTACAAACAGCAAGTAGAGGCTGGTGGTTTATGGTTCATGCAGCCGACATAAACCACGTGTGGGCCCTAGTTAATCATGTAATGGGCACTCGAAGAGGATTATGGTAAAGAATACAAACTTGAGCATAGGATGCCGGTTAATGGTTGTTCATGCATCCGAGATGGATCACAAGCAGGCCCAAGTTAATAATCTAATGGCCAGTATCGACAACCTGAGCAGACAACTGTCGCAACAGATTGCCCAAGAGATGGCCAATCAGAGGCAGCAGATTTGTGACCTCATGTCCAAGCTGTCACTCCCACCATGGAATCCTTGTCTCCTCCACAGACACGGCTTGCTGTGCTCATGATGGAGACTGAAATGTTGAACAACAGTACCGACATATGCTGCCCATCGATGACCACCTAAAAGTTATAAAAGAGAAATGTCCTGTTAACGACACGATGTTGGGTCACCCACGGTCACCCAGAATCGACAACAGAAAAACCACACAGCAGTCGCACACCACCATGTTGGACCACCTGCTTGGCCGATGGAGTTTCTGCCGTGTCTTATTGAAGAGTAGCCTGGAAGACCTGCTTTTGATTTGAAGTAGTGGTAGGCAAGTGTGCTGTAAGGGAACGGATTTGTGCGCACTCCCCACTCAGCCACACAGGCATACGGAACCTTGCACCTTTTCATAGTCACTAATATCTGGCTGCCTTTTGAACTTCCTATAATATTGGAGAGTGGAATGGGGCTCTGGTTGCTGCTTCTGTCCCAGAACACCCCTTAACACCGTTTTTGTAATTGTGTTTGATACCTGAGCAGGGATGGCATGATACCACGGCGCCTGACAAGCTTGACACAGGTGATGAATAATGGGGAAGCATAGATGATCCAAGGGCCTGGGTCATCATGGCACATGCTTCGGCCAGTTCTATTTCTTTTAAGGTGAGACCGCCTTCACTCCTGTGAGACTACTTGCATGGTCCTGTTGTGGAAGCTTTTCTTGATCATCGGTTTTCATTACGCCTGTTTCGAAAGATAAAAAATAAAAAAAATCAGGGCACCATGACTTTGGATGTCTTTTCTGACCGCATCTTGCGCATTGCCCCTTCTCCATTCTCTCTACCCAAGTGTCCACAGAGGTCCCCATGGCAGTTGCTGCTGAGGATACTTCAGAACTCTGCCTATTCCTCCTGTGACTCTGCCATTTTCTCCTGTTTCTTCTCCTCCTTCCTGCTGCTGCGGGGGCTCTTGTGGACCTCTTTTGGCAATTAAAGGACGGACTGATCCTGAGCCTGTTCCCTCTGTGACCCAGGGTTTTCTCCATAGACTTCTGTGGGATCATCATCTGTCTCCAGATTCTTCGTGTGGGCCAGTCCTGGTTCCACTGCACGTGACATTCAGTTCTTCGTCCCATGCACTGGGGTAAATCTGCTGGCATTCTGCCTTCACCACCTGGTTGCAAAACAAAATGTAATCCCGGGTGAGAAGAGAGCATTGCGAGGAAAATGAGATATAGCAAAATGACCGAATTCCAGAATGCCAATAACTAAACCCTGTCCACACACGCTGAAACAAAACCGCAAAACACAAGTCCATAGGCAACCTGAAAAAAAGAAAGGACAGGGAGCAAAGAGGAAAATGAGGTACAAGTCAATGTCGGGCCCCATGGAAACCAGAAATGGGCAAGGCAGCCCGCCCAGGATTAACTGGCACGCAAAAGGTCTCCAAATAGTGAGCTGGAATGCCAACGGACTAGGAAACATTCTAGCTGAAGAAGGCGAAATAAGAGATATCCGGACGGGCCTGGTGAGGAAAGATCATCCCAGACCCGACCTGATACTTCTCCAATCTGAACAGTCACACTAGAATACAGCAAAGGACGGAGAGAATAGTAGGGTGATGTGCATTCACACTATGGTCCAACGAAGATGGCCAAAGCAATAAAGAGACTGCAATCCTCATACCAAAAACATACAAGATTCTGATCGAAGGCCAGATCCTGAACAGCGAGGGTGACAGTGAAGAAGGCAGAGGTCATGGGTAGACATTAGATGGCAAGAAGAAGACCTGAGAATCCTCAAACTGTATGCACCTAACGCGGGACCCGAAATACTGACCTCCTTTGAGAACATAAAAACCCTCATCCCCAACCCGCAACCGGTAGTCATCGCACCCTGGACCCCAAACTGGACCGGATCTCAAGGACAGTACTAATGGGTCCCACAAGAGCGGGTAGTAGGACATGAAACCTGATGACATAATTTGAACTCATCGATCCACTCAGGGCAATGCATCTGGATAAAAAAGTTTTCTCCCGGATAAGGAAGAACCAAGCCAATCGGACATCATTGTCCACGTTTGACTACTTCCTTATATCCGAGAGTTTACAAGGCGCAGTCAAAGAAGCCGAAATCCTTCCATCTGCAGCACTCAAACAACTGGACCATAAACCCATTCAATTGCTGCTCAACTTCAATTCACCAGTCGAAACAGGTCAGGGATTTTTCAGACTGAACAATTCCCTCCTAGTGGAGCTAACGCGAACAGTATCAGCAGAATCACGAGGCATAGCTGTCTGTTGCTGTAAAAAAAAATTGATCCCTTCATAAACAGCGTGAGTTCAGGCAGACAAATACACACCAATGGTTCATCGATAGTTACGCGGAGCTAACACGAACAGTATCAGCAGAATCACAATAGCCGGAGACCGCAAGAGGAGAAGAGAGGAACTCCACTTCGCCATCTCAATTGCAGAATCTAACCTGGCAGAGGACCCCTCTAGCGAATTCTACCAGGAACTATTAGCTGATACCAA